CAGATACAGTACGGGGGGGGCAGTAGTGGGTATATGTCAGTGTTACTTGAGATGTGTGCTGTATACTCAACGCTCATTAAAAACTGTAACCAACCTGAAACATGAGCTCATGCACACCCAGTAGTTCAGCTCTCCTCTCATTAGGTTACTGACTGTAAGCCAAAGCAGTGCTGACAACGTCTAACATGTCAAGAGAAAGTGAGTTTACAGCTATTTATAGATGTTTATAGCTTTTAAGAAAAACATAATGAAATGACTGTTGCTCTTTAATCGAAGATATTCAGCTATTAAGGCAGTGGTGACCCAAAGGTGAGAGAGGTGAGCTTGTGACGGGCAGGATGACTCTGGGTGGGGAGAGCCCCCTCCCTCATTACCACCACTGAGGTGCCCTTGAGCAAGGCCCTTAACTCCAACCGCTCCAGTGGAGCTGCTCATTGTAGCAGTTCAGATTGTGGTTGTATCGGGCAGCTTAAAGAAAAAAACAACTCCTGCCACATTCCCACTTTCCCAGGCCCCTTCATCACCATTCTCTACCTGCCCCCCCCCCCCACAGCTCTCTCTCCCCTCATTTCCTGTCCTCTCTCTACAGCTGCCATCAATAAAAGGCATACAATGCTTCAAAACATAGTCATAAGAAGAATGAATCAAGTTGCAGCGACCTTAAATTTTAGCATTAAACAAGTCAAGACACAAGTTTTATTTCTATTCACTTCTTTTCAGGCACAATTTCAATTTGTACATAAAAAAATAAAGTTGTCGTATTGCAAAAGAGAAGACTGAGTATCTATGGATGGATTCAACCGTTGACCTTCTACTCCAGTGACTGGATCTCTTTGATTACTGAACGGCACCTGTTCATTTTTTACAGTATTCTTATTGTTCAGATCGTTTGTCTTAATGTGCTCAAGAATTCACATGAATTTATAAGAAATGTAACAATTCAAACAAAGCACAAATTCAGTGACCAGTTAGGAGTAAATATCGCCTGCCAGTCACAACACATCATCGGGTAGACTAAAACGATTCTTTACTGTTAGCTGGCTAACGTCTACGCCGATGCAGAGACACAAAACAGATCGTTTTTTGAAACGAAAAAAGGTGATAAACTGTGAGAAAACTCAGCAACCTTGAATACATTCAATTTTGATTCATAACGGCAGACAGTGATGGTAAGCAGAATATTTATTTTGGACCTTAGCTGACGGTGGCATAACACATATTTACTACCCACTGCATCTGATCCTTTTTTTCATTCATTTGGGAAGGTGAGCCACTGAACAGAACTCCTGATCTAGCTCTGTGGTGTGGAGTGGATTTAGGACCCTACATCTTACTGTTATGACCCTTCTGGTGGTCATAAACCAACCTCAAGAATCACAACTAAAAACTCATGACGTCACTTTTTGCACCGGATATGGTATACAAGCACTATTCTGTCATTACAACGCCATGCATCCAAACTCTGTTCAACTTTTTGTTCACTTTATAAGAAATGGAGATCCCAGAGGTAACATAAAACCACATGTCTCAGGTTGAATGTTGGAGAAAGGTGAATACAAATGTGCACAGACATTGATTAAGTGTTGCTTTTTGTCACGCAAGCTAAATATTACAAAAAAAGAAATGTCACGATATTTTATAATATTTCGTGTTTTTCTCTCCAGCATTTCGCGCCTCCTCCTCTCTCCTACTGGAGAGCAGTAATACCTAAAGGGCTGGTGCTTTTTTACCCGGAGTGGATTGCTGCGCTATGAATCTATAATGTAATCCCCCGACATGATGAGACACACATCATTCAAACCCTACAGTACATTAATGTTTCAACCCATCAGATATGTTGGAAAGCTCATGCATGGAAATTTGAGAACTGGGTGAGAGTGTGTGTGTGTGTGTGTGTTTGTCTCTATGTGCATGTATATACAGTATATATATATGTATGCTAATGTATGTTGACATGCATATGGTGCAGCACTGGCATGGTGTGTTTATGTTGCAGTTGTGTGCTTGCATCTGGTTTTATATCTATGTGTGTGTGTGCTTCTGTGTGCCAAGTGCGGGTGTATATGTAGAGTATTTAAGTGTATACGTGTGTTTGATTAGTTCAGTGCATATGAGCATGTGGTTCGGCGTGTGTATACTGTGTGTGTGTGTGTGTGGAGTTTTATAGAGAGGAACTGTGTGTGGGGGAGGAGAATGTGCAAGTGAATTATGTCTTTTTCAGTGGGGAGGGGTGCATATATGTATGTGTGTATGTGGGGGATGGGCAGAACACCCACTGTATGTATGTTCACTAAGCATGTGTGGGCTGGCTTGTGGCGTGTGTGTGTGTGTGTGTCTGTGTTAGGGAGAGAGTGAAAGAGAAGATTTTACGACAACTACTTGTATGCGTATAAACTCAGTGTGTATGTGCATTTTTATGTACTTGTGTGTCCAAGGTTATGTTTCCAAAATGCACGTGTGTGTGTTCGGATGGTATACATAATGTGTATGTGTGGGTGTGTTTTGCTACTATATAGAGTGTAATTATGTGTGTGTCTGCAGGTACTTCATGTGTGTGAGTGGATTTCTACATTTAATATGCATGTGTGAGCATCTGTTGAAGTGTACTGTGTGTGTGTGTGAATCAGTGACATGTGCATCTGTGTGTGTGTGTGTGTGTGTGTGTGTGTGTGTGT